GAATTTATGATTTCCATCATTTTATTTTTTTTAAATTTTATTTGCCTCTATTTTATGCTTAATTTATTCCCATGCCATAATTTTTTATTTCTTCAGCTTCATCTGGGATATCTTTTTCTTTTGTGTAACTTCCTCCTCTGATTTAGAAACAATTTGTCCTTTTTCAGTAAGGATCATCCCAGTATGGCAGGGGGAGCTCACATATGGGTTAATCCGGCCATGAGCTCTAAAAGTATGGTGGCACATCTAGGGTGCTTTGTTCACCTGGATATGCTCAATAACCAGAGAATCTACATCTGAACCCTTAAGTTCAGTGTAACACTGCATTTTTTAAGCATGTGCAACAAAAATTCAGCACTCTTTTTGGGCACCAACCCTGTGTCCAGCTCCACTGTTTGGCCTGGACACACCTACCAACTCCACCATTGCAATGCCAGAATGGCACACATTGCTTCTTTAATATGACATCCTTCAGATACTTGGTGGCCTTTTGGATATGCATACCCTTGATGGCCTGGGCAGTTTCACGCATGTTCTTAAAGTTAATGCGAAGATTTGAGCCTCTTGATTTGCATGATTTTGTGGGGTGTTCTGGGTCAAGAGAGTGATGAATCATTTTCACAGGTCACTTGAGGCTGCGCTCACAGGAAGAGCTCTATCATTTTCTTGAGCTCTTCTATTTTTAAAATCTGTGTCTGCTTTAATGCCTTTTATTTATTTCATTTTGTACTTTAGGAATTATTTTTTCAATAGCCACTTGTTTGATTTTTTTCTTTTTCACTTCAGTTGTTGTTATGGCTTGTGCTTAGTTGTTGGCCCAAAGCCTCATGCAGTCATTGAGATGGCTTCTAGACTGTGATTAATTCATAATCTAATGTGGCGATTATGGGTGTGAGTGCTACACTCACCCTGGGATGGGTAATCTGCATACAGTCTAAGGAAGTGAGAGAGGCTTGCTAGCAGCTGAAGCTGCTGCTCCTTCCACTTGCTCTTTGCTGTTATCCACTGCCATGAACAGCTGCCATTTGCCATGTTCCACTCTGCCTTGGAGCCAGCCAAGTATGGACTGAAGCCTCCACTAACTATGGGTTAAATAAGCCTCTCCTTCCTGAATTTGGGTGTCAGGTGTTTTGTTCCAGAAACCAGAGAAGAGTAACTGAGAAAGTTGTCCTCATTTCAGAAAATTTCAGGGGTTGGTTTCTGATTTCCATTATTTCTCTGTGCTCTGGACTTGTCCTGGGTTGGTTGGATGTCTGGGGCTACTTTTTTTTTTGTTATTACAGGGGCTTACTATGCTGCTTGGACTCATAGTGATTCTTCTGTTTTCAGCCTCTCCAGTGCTGAGATTACAGGTATGCACCATCATGCTTGGATTCTGGCCAGCTCAGCCTGCCCTGGGGGCAAGGCCAATGTGGCATGTGGTGCTGGAGATTGAACCATGGTCCATGTGCTTGCATAAGCTTGCCAAAGCAGGTGTTTCAGTCCACTGAGCTGTCTTGCCAGCTCACTGGGCTACATTTTGCTTCTGCATTTTGTTACTTTCTATTTTCTATTTTTTTGTTTAGTTTTCTGTGTTGATGCTTATAGATTTCTCATGGTAGTTTTATCCCTGTACCAAGGTTCTCCTAGGGAATGTCTATTCTTAGGCATGACTTCTAGATGGTGTAGGTGGTCTTGTTTTTTACATCTAGCCCAAGAACCTACCACTGTTTTAAGGATCAGAAGTTGCTATCTATATGGCTCGGGACTCTGTCCTTTAGTACTGAACTATGGTGATGGCCACGGTGCCATACAATCACAGTGTTGTCATACAGGGGAGAAAAATTGAGTATAACAGGTATGATGTGCTGGCTGAAGTAGTATAGTTAGCAGTAACAGTAGTCTGCTGTACAGCCTGAGTATTGACAAATTGTGACAACATTTAGCTTTATATCTTTAACTATAGGAGCAAATTCTACCGCTGTATAACAAAATCCAACATATACCACAACTTGTATGCAGTGATTTCCCAGTGAGGGAATAATTTTACCATGTTGTGTTTGTTATGTGGGTGGTGTTAAGAGGGACAGGGGTCAAAATAGAGAATGAAGTCTACTATAATAGGAGCAAGGCTGCAAGGCAAAGGAAGATTATCCAAGTTATAGAAAAATTTAGTACACAAGAGAGAAAGAATGGAAGTGAAAGCCAAGGAGTACTGAAGTGAACCAAAAAGATTAGAGAAAATGTTTACTCTAATGAAAGTATCATAAGGTCAAAGGAGATAATTGATAATGAGAGAAAGAGGATAAGTAGGAGAAAACAAAAAGAAAGTTAAGAAGTCAAAGTTGTGAAATAAAGAGTAAAGAAAAGAATGAGAGAAAAAAGAGAAAACCCCAAAACTAACCATGTTGCAATGAAGCAAGAAACAAACTTTGGTCAGGCAAGCAGTGAATCTTGAAGCTGTGTATTAGTGTGTTATAGTCTACGGTGTAATTTACTTTCTGTCACCTCTCTCTCTTTCTTAGCACTCTGCTCCAGTCACTGGGTGTCTTCAGCTCCTTCCCTAAACCACAGTTGAGTTCTTGGAAAGGCTGTTCCTTCAGTTGGAAACACTCTTCCGCCCTTCTCTGGCTAATGTCCCTTTGAACTCAATGCAAATCCCAGTCCTCCTGGAAGCCTTCCCATTCTAGGTGCTGACTTAGTGTCTCATCCTTCTAACACAGCACTAATCACATTGCTGTAACTTAAAAAAAATCAAATAATTCAGACACACAAAGAAATAATACAGGGTGCATCATATACTTATTTGCTACCCAACTTAGTCATTAAAACACTACCAGTTGAAGCTCTCATAACATTATGCTATCTCTCCACTCCCAATCACTATTCAAATATAGTGTTTATCTTTCCATATGTCTATAGACTCTTATTACATATGTGTATATATTCCTAAACATCATGTAGAGTTAGTATTGTTTTGCTTCACTTTATGTTATTACAAAGCTATTCCACAAACATGGATTTCTCTTCACCCTTACTTTTGAGATTCACCCATGTGGATGCTGAAGTTCTAGATCACACCTACCGCTGCATCACGATTTGTCTGTTTCCTATGGATAGTGAGACACGTTAAGGGAAAATAATTCCCAACCCCTTAGCTGTCATATATGAGGAGTTCCGTGGTCTCACAACAAATTGTGGACTAAAGGAGGAGGCTAGGGGAGTTTTATTGGAAAATAGAAGAATAACTTCTGGATTTTCCAGGAGGGATCCTGAGTGGGTAGCCACCTGAGGCTTTGTCTGGGTTAACTTATGTGGCAAAATTATTATAGATAGGTCAGTTAGGTAGAAATATCATAGGAAGGCAGGGCTGGGCCCTCAAGAGAATTGGCTGGAGGCAAATTCACTAAAGGCCATATTTCAAGTAAAGTAGAAATTACGCATATACTTCCCCAAGGGATAAACAGCAGTGATTGATATTCTAAGAAGCGCTCAATCACCTTGGGGTTAACCCACCCTTTTCAGGAAAGTTGTGTTTCCCGCGTGCCCTTAAGTGACTTGCTTCCCAATTTGTTTCACATTCTATATTATGCAAGTGTCTATACTTGTTATAACCTTATTGGTTCACTATACTATTGTCCCATCTCATATCCACCTTGTGACTTCCCATTGGGTGAATATTACCTAAGCCACTATCCTTGTAGTCTTATTGATTGATTATAGTTCTGCACTATCATGAACCCACCTCACCTTGTGGCTTTGCTCCATAAACATTCTTGAGAAGCAGGGTTGGTGGACAACCCACCGTTTCCCTCAAACAGAAGCTTTCTTTCAATAAATTCTTCCTACTCTTAACCTCTGATGTTCCTAGAATTTATTTCTTGATTTTAAAGAACACAAATTCTGTGTTTTGGTCATCTAGAAGGTTGGGAGTTGTATTTCCCTCACATCAAAATCACAGCATGGGTCGAACTGCAATCAACCTAGAGCATGGTAAGTATAGTCACTTAGCGAGCATTCATCCAATAGGAAAACAAAGCACATAGCAAGGGTATGTGGAAAGAACAAAGATATTTCTGCAAAGGCTTGGATCCAGATGTTCTAGTTGTTCCTCCAGGTGTTTAATGCCTATCTCGTTTCACTGGACTGGGTGGTTCTAATTGCTGTTTACCTCTGTGGAGGCCTGCAGGCCTGACTATTGCTTCTCCAAATTGAGGCCTGGTTCTTTCCATGGGCCTCAAGCCACAGTGTTTGGGGGTCTCCTATCTTGTGCTGACTTCAAGAGCCGGATCCCTCTTTGAGTGCATATTAATCTGTATTTAACTGTGCTGTCAAATTGTTTACAGTTTTACAATTGTGAACTGTGCTTTAAGTATTACTGTATAAATCTTATCCGTGTGATAGTTTCTCTGGGTTCACAGCCAGAAATGGCTCTGCGGTCATCACGGACCGGCAAAAGCTCTCTGCCGCTGGAGAGAAAACGCCTGGGAGCGAGACTGCAGCGTCTTGGACCGCAATGTTTCTCGGGACAGAGAAAAGAGGACTCTAATCCCCAAGTGTACCGAGGAATAGCTGGACGCAGGAATTTGGCAGACTGTTGTTCAATGCAAGAGCAGTTTCCTGACCTCCAGGCAGCTGTTGTTCTCCCGGAAATCAAACAGATTCTGTGCAATGGGCGGACATTTTTGCCATTTTCCGTTTTCTTTCTAGAAAGGGCTAGCGATAAAGAACCAGGGGCGCGTCGAAGATCAGCAACCCGCCCGCAGCAGCTTCTCTGCGGCGCTAGCGGCTTCCCGGCTCCTCCTCTTCCTGCCCCGCCCACCCCGCCCCTCCCCCCCCCATCCCGCCCCATCCCTCCCTTACACCTTGCCCCGCCCCTCCCCGCGCTCCGGCTCTCCTCGCCATGCCCAACCCGCCGCGCCCCGCCTCCCACGGCCCAGGCCCTGCTCACTCCACGAAAGCCTTTTCCGGCCCCACCCCTCCGCCTCCAGGCCACGCCCACCTCACACGCCCCGCCCCATCCCATCCCCAATGGCGCTGCTCGGCTAGAGGGCCGCTAAGGACGCGCGCGCCACCGTGGGCCAGGGCGTGCGGCGCACTCCAGGTGGCGGCCTCAGGGATGCTGGAGGCGCGGGGTGTCCCTGCCGCTCTGCTGCTGGCAGCAGTCGTGCTGGGCTGCGCGCTTCGGGCTCCCGGCGGCTTCCCGCAGCCAGGTGAGCGCAGGCGGCGGGAGCGCGCTCGGCTGCGGCCAGGCCGGGGCTCTGCGGGCGCAGAGCGTTCGCTTTTGGGGGCTAACGCGGAGCTGCTCCCGCGAACGCCAAGCCCGTAACGCCGAGCCGGTAACGCCGAACCCGGGCCTCGCCTGGCCTTCCTCCGGAGTCGAACCCTGTTGGGCTGTGGGGTGCCGTAGGCGGAGAGACGCTGAGTACTCCCGGCGCCGCGGAGCTTGCGGGTGCCCGAACTCGACTCGCGAAGGGCCGCAGTGGCAATGAACGTAACTGGTGCCTTAGTCCGCCCTGGATGCGGGCCTCCCTAAGGCCCTAGAAGACCATGTATCTCTCCCCGCTGCCCCCAGTAGGTGGCTTGGCCCGGGACTGAGGGACTTGCCCGGCGTCGGGCTCGGTTGGGGCAGGGTTTAGGAAGTGCGTGCCGCGGGGGTGGAAAGCGGAAAGGGGAAAGGAAAAGCCGTCTGCTCGCTCCCCCGCCAGCCAGCTTCGCTATCCCAAGTACCAGGGGCGTTGGCGTTCGTGTCAAGTGTAAACTCTTAGTGGCAGTCTTATGGGAGGAGGATATGATGAGTTTTAAGAAGTGACTTTACTACCATTTAGTCACAATTATTTTAGAAAATGGTGATTTGTGAGTAGTGAGACTCCTCGGGTGCATACTAGCGTTCTTAAGAGTTCCACCCCCAGGAACCTCCCGGAGGCCGAGTGCGGAGGACAGCCAGGGCTCTGTGCCGCCTTGGGGTGGACGACAAACGCCGGAGAGTTTTATACGAATTTAGTGCTTTGTGTTTACCGGGAAAAAAATTAATAAAGTATACCTTCAGTATGCTTAGCAGAGAGACTCAGCAGCAGAGGGCTGCAACTACACTTTTAAGTATTTGGAAGTGAAATAAAGGTCTGATTATACAAGCAGTGCATTTGCTCACATTACTGAAAGTTGACTTATTTACTAAGACAATGTAAACTGGGAGAGAAAGAGAAGTATCCTTTGACCTGTAGTTGTCCATGAATATCACCTGGGTCTTCATAGGTCACACGTTTGGGAAATTGAAATTGAGAACTTTTTCCTGAAGCTGAGCATCAGGTTCAATTTAGAAGGTTTTTTTTTTTTTCTTTACGGGGATTGAACTCGAAGCCTTACATATGCTAGGCAGATGCTCTAACCCTGTGCTACAAATAGAGTCCTATTTGATGGTTTAGTAATTAAGTCCTTTGTGTCTTTTATACAGTATCCCCCTCCACCCCCCACTTAGATGATGCAAAGGAGTACAAAGAAAGGTGGCTAGCTTCCCTGGATTTACAGTTTCTAGCTGTGGTCTTTTTATTTTTTATTTTTTACAGAATCCAAAATAGTAATAAAACAGCATTAGAAAGTTTAACTGGGATGTATATAAGCATCACACTGGGAAGTTTGTTGTTGTCTGGGGGAAAGGAGGAGACCTAAAAAGCTGCTGATTAGGTGAATTCTGATTTAATTAGTTCAGAGAGAGCCAGAAATTGTGTTAGCACTGTTTTTTAAACTCAGCTAATTCTGATGTTCAGTGTGGACTGAGTGCATCTGCGTATTCCCAGAGAACATAATTATGTAATAAGAACAATGCAGAACTTTCCAGGTATTCCATCTTCACATAGAAAATCTGAGCCTAAAACTAGAAACTTACTCTTACCTACTCTTAAGGACTCAAAAATGTCTAAGAGTGAAAACAGTTATTATTCCAGATTTGAAAGGAAGGGCTGGTGATATATAGAAAAATTACAAAGGAATAATTTTGAAAAGGGAAACCTTCAAAACTAAGCAAAGAGAGCTGTGTTGGCCTGTCTCCCGGGCATGCTGAGTGGGCCACTGAGAGCTGGCCTGGTGGTGCAGGCCTGTAATAGCAGTGCTGGGGAGGCTGAAAACAGGAGGATCACTATGAGTCTGAGCTGCGTAGTGAGACCTACAAAGAAAAGGAGAACAATATTTTAAGACATTTATGACTAAGATGAAAAAGTAATATTGCTGCAATTTTAAAAAATTATGCAGATACATAAGACCTCAAGGGTTACAACTGTTAGATAAATACTCCAGTAGCTCTTTGAAAGGAAAATATGGATGTTAAACCCTTGGAAAATACATTTAAATTTGCTCATCATTAAAGGTGCTGTTTTCTTTTATTTATTTATTTATTTTTTTTGGTGGAACTGGGGATTGAACTCAGGCCCTTGCATTTGCCAGGGAAGCACTTATTCCACTGAGCCATTTCCCCGGCCCCTAAAGTATTTTTGTTTGTTTTTGGTGGTACCAGGGATTGAACTCACGACCTTGTGCTTGCCAGGCAAGCACTTATTCTACTGAGCTATCACCCCAGCCAAGGTGCTGTTTTCTATTCAAAGTGAAAACCAAAACCAAAACCAAACTAAACCTCCAAAAAATAAAATGAAAAGGGTAATTCCTGCACAGCTGGTAGGGAACAGACAGGCTTTATCTCAGGAAATTGGTAACTTAGAGGGTAGATGCATGCTTAGACTGACATGGATGTAAATCCTGGCTGTGGGTAGGTGGTGACCTTAGGCAAGTTGGTTAATCTCTCTAGACCTAGATTCTCAATCTAAAATGCAGACTTTTCTGTCTCAGTGGTATATAGTTGTAATGACTGTAGTTGTAGCTACTCAGGAGGCTGAGGCAGGCAGATCTCTTGAACCCAGGAGTTAGAGCCCAGTTGGGCCATATACTAATGCCCCCTTCTCGGGAAAAAAGTAGCACACCAAGAGGTGTTTCCGAGGGGGCTTCTGGGGCTTGGCACACTGCAGGTATTTTTGTATTGCCTGGGAGTCACCACATTTGTGTTTCTAAATCAGCATCACCAAATAGGAGAAAGGCATCAAAGAATAGAAAAAATGATGGATGAGCCTTCATTAATCTGGAGAATAAACTGGGCATGGTAGTGCATGCCTGTAATCCTAGCATTCGGGAGGCTCAGGCAGGAGGCTGGCTTTGAGTTTGAGGCCAGCCTGGGCTGCATGTAAGACTGTCTTTAAAAAAAAAAAAAAAAATCTAGGAAATAAAAAGCATTCTCTATGGATTATGTATTGTATGTTTTATCTTCACTGAGATAAACTGAAAGGATGTAACTTGGCTAACTGAAGAAGCCCAGAAACCAGACCAAGTACAAACCTTTTTAATTTTACTAATTTCGCTTTTTTTGTGTGTGTTTTGCCAGAAACCAGTTGATAAGCTGTTTTCTCTTACACAGAAGATTAGTCCAGAATGGCCAGTTGATTTAAATAAACCACTGTTCTTTAATTTCAGACAATACCAGTTCACTTGTTTTTTTCCTACCAAATTGCCAAGATGTAATTTTAGAAACCACATCCTTCTTTTTTTCTGGGACTGGGGCTGGAACCCAGGGCCCCATGTGAGTGCTCTACCAACCTGCCGCATCCAATGCTCTGAGTTTGCATTACCTTTTTTTTTTTTTTTTGGTGAAACTGGAGATTGAACTCAGGCCCTTGCGCTTGCCAGGCAAGTGCTTATTCTGCTGTGCCATCTCCCCAGCCCCTGCATTATCTTTATGCCATCCTAAGAATATCATAACAAATTGGTGACCTGTATGCTTGGTTGAATACCAGAGCAGTGGTATTCAGACTGAGACCTATAACTTCTTCCTTTCCTGTTTCAAATCTGCTAAAAGCACTTTCAGAACTAAAGTGATTGAAAGGACTGGGGAAATAGCTCAGTGGCATAAGCGCCTGCCTGGCAAGACTATGGACCTGAGTTTGATCCCTGGTACTAGAACAAAGCAATGATGGAAAATAGGATTCCTCAAACCTTGTATTTTAACCAGTGATCCTGCTGACTTCACATTGTGACTAGACGGACTGAGTTTTCCATTTCTAACAATACAGGCTGAGTTCTGAGCCTGGTGATACAGTATAAAAGTCAGGCAAAGGGCATTATCTAACTCTTGTGAGCTTCATCTGTAAAATGGATGAAATATGCAAGAGGTGGTGGTACGTGTCTACAATTCCAGTACTGTGAAAGGCTGAGGCAGGAGGATCATAAATTCAAGCCCACCCCAGGCAATGTAGTAACTTAATGAGACTCTGTCTCAAGATAAAAAAGGACTGGCTATGAAGGGCCTGGTTTCAGTCCCTAGCACTGGAAAAAAGAAATGGACAAAATGTATAGTTCACGGTGTGGTTGCTACTGACTGTAAAGTACTAGTTTAGCACACATCACATCTTAGCACCTTATGAACGTACATAGTCCTTTTATACACTGGATGTAATTGTGTTGACTGGATCCTTGTTTGTAAAGGAGAACGTTTGTACAGAAGGGTGTGTGTGTGTGTGTGTGTGTGTGTTTTCATGCATGTATACATTGTCATATACAGAAAGTAACATGTTAAAGACCCCATAAACACAGAGCCGGTATATGAAAAGCAATACTGGTGTACTTTGTCTCTCATTCAGGTGATTTTCTAAAAACTTGTGTTTCTAATTCTTATCAGATTTAGACAATAAAAATCATGTGGAGTTGAAGATGGATCAAGCTTTGCTACTCATCCATAATGAACTCCTGGGGACAAACTTGACAGTTTACTGGAAATCTGAGTACTGCTACCAGGTATATACCGTGTTCATGCTAACAATTTTATTTGCATTAGATATGGTCCTTAGTGCTGTCATGTCTAAAGCTTTTTATATGTTAACTTCAATTTTATAGGTAAGGAGACAAACAGGCTGTAATAAAGAATGAAAAGAAATACAATGAAAGAAAAATGCTTAGGAGTGGACAATATCCATTTCTTAACCTTTTTCCTACTTAAAAAAAAATCAGATCTTTGTGATGAACAAATTGATAGACCACATTATGTTTTTCTCAGTTGCATAAGCATCTTGCTGGTCCAGAAGAGGAAGGAAACCCCTGGATAACAAGCATAGTGAGAACAATTGTATGTTGAAGGAAAGGCAGTTATCCAAGAGTCTGCCTCACTAAAAATAAATAATTTACTTTTGTGTTATTTCTTTGTGGTGCTAGGTTCTTGCACATGGTAGATAGGTGCATTACCATTGAGCTACATCCCAGCTTCTAATATTTTACCTCTGTTACAGACTTTGCTGGGTTTTCTTTTTAAACCAGTATTTTCCCATATTCATAAAACAGGTACATTTTCACTACATAATTTCATCCCTTGACATACACAATTGCTTAAATTATCAAATACTTCTGGGCCAAATTCATGATTCTCTTGTGTTAAGAATCAGAAGTTTTGATAAGGAATTGTGATGGCGGTTGATGGCAGTTGTAAAGTAGTATGGTAGGTAATAATACTGTGCTGCAAAGTGCAATTGATTTGACTATGACCACTTTCAAGCCTAATACTAAACTGTGCTGCTTTTTAAGGAAAAGGATATTCTTCTCTGTAAATACAGTGTTCTTCATCACCAGATTGAGAGAGAGCATCATTGTATTTAACTTTAGGAGAGGACTTTAATGTGTGGTATATAGTATAGAAAAACAAGTATAATGAGAAAAAAGTTAGAGGAATGACTGTGGTCAGGGTATAAGAACATCATTGGAACAAAGATAAAGAAGAGTCACCTGCAAAAAAGTAGGCATGAAACAGTAATTTTGGTGACAGATGAAAGAGTCAGAAAAAGAATTAGCCCTAGGAGACTATTGTAGGAAAGCAAGTTGCTAATTTATTTAAAAAGGTATAGAGGGGCCGGGGAGATAGTTCAGCTGGCGTAAGTGCCTGCTGGCAAGTGCAGGGTCCTGAGTTCGATCCCCGGTACTGAAAAAAAAAAAAAAGGTATAAACATAATGATGCCTAAAAATGTGTGAAGGACAGATACAGGGTTTGTATTTAATTGTAAAAAATATCCTGTCGGGCTGGTGAGATGGCTCAGTGGTCTAAAGCACCTACTTAGAACAAGCTTAGCAAAGCACAGGGACCGAGGTTCAATCCACCAGCACCACATGC